AAGTCAAGTTGTGGATTGGCTCTCAAAATCGCAAGGTGGCTCGATAAACACGTTGGGACTACGTCGTGCACTATTAGCTACTTGCAGCAAGAACGATAGTAAGTTCACGTTGCCGAAGGAAACGACAACGGAACTAACCGCAACAGATGTGTTGAAGTCACTGCTCATACGCAGCCTTGAGCAATTTGGAGACAAGTTCTCTATCAAACATGTCCCAAATATGGTCCAGAATGGTTTGTCAACAGTCCACAGTCCTCTGCTCCTAAAATATTAGCCTCTGACATTGAATAGCAACTGCACAAGTGATTCTTCTTGCTGCTGGCCACCTCTATCGGCTAGATCAAGCGCAAGTGAAAGAAGTAGGCCGGTCAGGAGCATATCTCAACGCAGTCTCCAATAGACTCGCCGCGTCCTCTAACAGAGCACGATTTCTTGGCATGGTCGTTGGAACAGGAATATCTGAACTCATTGAGGAACCAGACAAAGTGCTGAAATTTGACATAGAGGAAATGCGGAACGAGGAAGCCCTTTGGTATTCGCATTTGACAAAGGTCCAAGACGAGATCGGTTCGCCTGAATCTATCAAAGCATTGCAAGAGGCATTGCCAGAAAAGCCAGAACTGGTCCACCCCAAGCCTTCACAAAAGCCGAAGGCACAATTTTCCCACCAGCATACAAGCAAGATTGTTGCGGTTGAAGAAGTCGAGGACAGTGATGAAGAGGAAGAGGAAGAGGAAGAGGACGACCTCATTCCGTATGAAAAGCCGGACGACGATGCATACGATTCTGATGACGATCCTACGTTGGTCCAACGGAATAAGCCGACAGCGCCTGTGTAAGTACAGATCGCCTGCTGATATCGAGCTCGCTAACAAATCTAAGATACATCCGTGATTTGATCCCATATCTTCGAGACAACGAAAATGTCGAGCGCTATCATCTCGCCATCACCACTGCCCCATCCTTAATTCGACGGAAGATAGGATTCGGAACTGAACTTGCCGAGCAGATCGAGGAGCTAGCTCTGACTATCGTGGGTCTTCAAAATGACAATAATCATCCGTCATTCCATGAATCTCGCCTACAGAGCATGATTGCATTGATTGTGTCCGAGCCCTTGAAAATGGGCCGCTGGTTTACTGCCATCTACTTCGATGGAGACCTTTCTCAAGTCCAGAGATCTGCTGTTCTTACAGCTCTGGGTCTGAGTGCTCGCGAGATAGCCGGGAATGGAGAGGATGATGCCAAGGCACTGCATCTCCCAACTACTGGCGATACCTCATTCCCATCCAAGCGGCTCTCGCCTGCCCTAGAGGCGATGTACTCAGGAGCAAATGAGTCTCCTATTGCAATGCTCACCCGGGAAACGGCCCGCACATCCTTGGAACCGCTCGCAGCCAACGCAGCAGATACAATGACTGGCCCCAATGCTCTCAAAGTGCGCACTTTCTCATCTCGTATGGAAGTCGAGAAGAAACGCCAGCAGCGTGACACCAAGCGCCAAAATGCTACAATCAAGGATCTGCACAAGGTCCTTGCCGAGGGTTTCTTCTTCCCACTGCAGGGCAGATTTGAAATAATGATGCTGCAGTCTTCGTCGTACGTTTTACGTCCACTCTCAAAATCATATTATTAACATCGCTCTAGGTCCTCCACACCCTCATACAACCCATTCTTCATCCCCCATCTCCTTACACTCTTCCTCCAAACCCTCTCCCTCATTCTCTCTACAACAGGCCCTCACACCCCCTTTCTCCCAGGCCTCACCCATGAAACTCTCTCCCTCCTCTTATCTCTACACACATCCTCGGCATCCAGCGAGCCAACCGTCACTGCCGCACTCCTGTCACTTTTCCTCGCTGTGGTGGATCTCAATATTGCGTCTGGCTCAAATGGCGAGCAGCGTCTTGTCACCGAATACGCCACCCAGGTGATCGAGCTGCGAGAGTGGGCTTCCCAGGTCTTTGACCGGACGCCGCCTTCGGCTGCGCGGGCTGATCCTAGCTCAGCCGTTACCGACCCACAGGAGCAGATACGCACCCTTGCTGCTGGTGTTATGGTGCGGCTTGGGGAGGTGATAGAGCGGTATCAGGGTCGGCTGATGGGTGTTCATTCTGGTTTTAACTATTAGGCAGATGACGGAACTATGTGAACATTATTGAAAATTCCACGAACGAGTACAGCCATCAACGCGCCTTGGTCTTTTACATTTAAAGGAAGAATGTAAATCGTGTTGTTCCCTTTCTTCCGAAAATGACATACATATGTAGCTATCATTATGATCACTGAGGCGTAGATTGGCCCATTTACTCCGCCTTGACAAAGCTACCCTTCTCGATGGCCGCCTCCATCATCCGATCACCACTAATGATGCTCGTGGTACATATAATAATCTTCCTCCGTGGAGCCTCTTGCGCAGCAATGAAGCGCAACGCGGCGATCTCGGTGAACGTGATACCACCCAGGAAAAAGACATACACGGTCTTCGTAGCTGAGTTACCGCTGAGCGTTTGACGAGCCCGCACAGCCTTATCATCACCCTTCTGGACGATACTGAAAGTCGCACCGCGAGCACTCTTGACAACGTCCTCGAAGCCAAGCCAGCCAGGCGACGTTGTATTAGGGGTGTTCGAGGCGGCCGGCGTACCTCCCTTGATCAAGGATACCATATAGGATTTTTGTAGCACACATTGAACCAGGCGGACGCTGAGGGGCGCAAAGCCACTGTACACATAAGAAATGTCGTTCGGATCCTTTTCGCTGACCTCCTCGATGACAAGACAGAGGTTCTTGCGCAGGTACCCGTAGTTCGTCTTTGATCCTGCTTGTGCACCGGATGTAGGGAGGAGCATCGTCGTTGCTGAGGATCTAGGCTGGAGAAGTTCCATTTTCTCTAACGCCCAGAATGTGAGAAGGTGCTGGTGGCCGTACGCTTGAACGACCTGTCTCTTGAAACTTTCTAGGTCGCGGGGGCGGAGACCCCCAGACATGCAGGACTCCAGGCACAGGAGCCGTAGCACAGTCTTAAGTGGAACATCTCGAGCTATCAGCTCTTCGATTGTGTCATGCTGGTATGTGGAGTCGGCACCGGCCGCATTGTTCTGTTGGACTTCTAAAGTTTTGCGGAAAGTTTCGGAGCGGGTGAGTCGCATTATCTCTTCTGCGAGGTTGGTATGGGTTCGAAGACTCTGGTGCTCCAGCTGGTACGTTGGTAATCGGTTGACAAACTCTCGAAGCTCGCCTGTCGTTTTAGCCGTGTGGCGGCTCTCGTACTCATTTTCTAAGCGGCGTGCCACCTTATTCAGGATATCGCCCACGATTGCAAAGTTTGCATCTCGCAGTTGGCTGAACAACTGATCCGAGGAATCCAGCTGTATCTTTCTTTTCAGCCCCTGCTTGACTTGCTGGGGTGCCTTGGATGACTCGGACTGTGGTGTGGGAGCAGGACCGACAATGCTTGTATCAACGTCTGCCTGGTTGTTCTTTATACCGACATATTCATCAATTAAGCCTTCATAGGTGAGCTGTGTGAGAAGGGGTGTCCCAAAGTCGACGTCACGGTCTATGATGATCAAGTTCTCTACGCTCGCACTTGGCAACAGGCCTCGTGCAGAGGGATCGGTCAATCCGGAGCTCTCCTCTGCATCAAGTTCTTTCCTCATACGCAATAGAAGATCTGCTAAGCGCCGGGCATTGTCCCCTTTTCCAACAATGCGTGGGAAATAGCCATGGCGCTGCTGGACACCCATGAGAGCCTTAGCAGAATGGAAGATACACCCTGGATCTTTGTGCTGAATAGGATGGTCAGAAAATATCTCAAATGTTAGCAACCTATGAACTTACCAAGTACAAGTCTCCAAACGACTCATCCAGTTCTAATGACAAGATGTCTTGTTCTAGAGGCATAAAATAAAGAGGAAGCTCGGCGACGTTCACGTCGCCGATGATTCCTGCCTCCTCCAAGACAGCATTGCTCATAAGCGTCCGTCTTGGAGCGAAGAAGATGGAAAACTCATGTTCAACATTTCCATTATTCTGCAAGCGTTTGATTTGTTCTAAGAGAAATGTCAGCTCATCCTGATGGCACTCAATCAGAGATAGCAGGAAAGGGCCCTAATGAAACGAGCTTGGAAATGTTGTAAGATAGATATCGATATAGGGAACATTTCTCCAGATTACATAGAGTAGAAAAGCCTCTGTATAATCTGATGATGGCCCATCATGGGCCCCAATGAAAGAGATCCAATCTGACAAGCCGACAGGGGGGCAAAAGAGACAATGTCATACCTGCCACAATTCGAACGTGGCGAGCTTTCTCGCCACGAACAAGGAATACAACATTGCGTTGTGATGAGTCGATGTTTGCATTTTCCAGCAAGAAGACCCGGTCGACACCATACTCTTGGAGCACGGAGAACTTGACGAATAGACCCACTGGGCCGGCCAGTTCCTGGCTTATCACGAGGTTCTTCTTACCCCGGGCCTGGAGAATAGTTAGCGCATATAATTGCTTCGCTTCGCTCCGCAATCAGAATAGAAGATCAAGGAGGCTGTGCTCACGCCTTCGAGTAAAGTCAAGAGATCCCTCCGCGCCTTGTCCCTAAAATAGTCCGCATCCGACCCCGATAAAGGAGCCATTTCATCCAGGCAGAGGCAATGTCGTGAGCCAAAAATAAACAGAGACGTTGAAGTGCCACTGCGCCCGCATTGGGCTAGCACTGCCACTGCTGATGTAACATGTAACTTTGGTATTAGTATCGTTATCACTGCGCCATCCACCATATATCTGGCTGGTAACTTTAGTACGCCCCTTGTATATATATTACCATCAGGCGGCGTTCTCGAACATCTAACTAGCTCCCCTGAAGGCGTCTCATATTAATTCTTTCTTTTGTCTCACTTCATTCTCTTTCTCCTTACTTTCTTGTACTCCCATTTACCCTCGATCATTTTAATCTTATTCAACAAATCTTTACAAGCACTATACCCCCACCCACGCCATGGGTCTTTTCAAGAAATCCGATGGCGACGATGACTCTAGCCGCCGAGCACTCTTCGGCTCGCGGAAGAAGGACAAGAGCCCCCCGACCCCCTCCAACCCTTACGCTCAACCAATTCCGGTAGACCCATACACTAAGGCCAAGATTGGCGTGGGTGTTGCCCCCTTACCTGCCGACCACCCCGCCGCCAACGGCGGCCCCCACTCCATCCCCCCGACAACAAGTACGCCTCCAACAAGTACGGAAACCAAGGCGGCTACGGCAGTGATCGATTTGGCGGACCCGGCGCAGGCGCCGGACCCTCAACCGGAGGCTCGCGATACGGAAGCGGTGGTTACGGAGGTCTGGGTAGCAGCGATCCCAATGACCCCGCGGCTGCAGACTCCGCTCGCAACGAGCTTTTCGGCGGCGCCAACAGAAACCGGGCACCGGACAACGCGGGCGGCCCATCACCACCACCGTACTCCGAGGGTCAGAATGGTCAGAATGGTCCAGGACCGAACTACGGTGGCGGCAGCAATGAGTACAGCATGGCGACCTTCCAGGATCGACAGCTAACAGCTGAAGAAGAGGAGGAGGAAGAGGTCCAGGCGACGAAGAACGAGATACGCTTCGTGAAGCAGGGTGATGTAGCATCAACACGGAATGCACTCCGAGCTGCCGCACAGGCTGAAGAAACCGGTCGCGCCACTCTCGCCCGACTTGGTGCGCAGGGCGAGTCCGTCCACGATACAGAGAAGAGTCTGGACATGACGGCCATCGAAGGTCGCATCGCAGAGGATAAGGCAAAGGAGCTCAAGACGCTCAACAAGAGCATGTTCGCCGTACACGTGGCGAACCCATTCACGGCCTCGCGACGCCGGCGCGAGCGCGATGAGAAGATCCTCAATACACACCGTGAGGATCGTGATGTCCGCGACGGAACACGGTCCGAGGCGTACGCGAGTAATCAGCGCATGGACCGGCTGTTCCGTGATATCGAGCGCGATGCCGCGAAACAGGGCAAGGGCAAGAAGGCGAGTGTCACCGAGCGTGCCAAGTACCAATTCGAGGCGGATAGCGAGGATGAGGCAATGGAGGACGAGATTGAACAGAACTTGGATCTGCTCAGTGGTGCTACCGGTCGGTTGAACGGTCTTGCCAAGGCCACTGGCAAGGAGCTGGACGAGCAGAACAGACATCTGGAGCGTATCATAGGCAAGGTGAGTTTTCCCTTTAATCTGGTGTGTGTATGAACATGAGACTAACTGGCTATAGAGCGACTTTGTCGACGATCAGATTGCCATGAACCGGGCCAAGCTGGACCGGATTCGTTAGTCACGTTGGTTGTTCAAGACAAAAGGGCTGCGATATGCCTGGTGCTGTCGTGCTCAGTAATTTTCTGCGTACGTTCTGTCCGTTGGGCATGGATCACAAATTGGCGTTAAGCTGGTTCTGCATTATCTGCCGTGGTCATATCAGACCCGGCGACTAGAATATTAGTTGAACATTAAATAACATAATTTCATTGATTCATTCTGTACACTTGGATTGACTATAGCATAGGGAAGTAGCCGGACCGTGCGCTCTGTGACGCCTTTAGGTATGCAATATGAGCTAGATATCTCGTCCGATACTGCCTTAAAGCCCTGAGAAACCAGAGAAGTCTTGTTATTCAGCTCCTCAAACCTCAATCGCAATATCCAAATCCACGAAGATCGACATCCCAACTGCGGGGGAGCGCGGGGAGTACCCGGAGAATGAACCTCCACAGAGCCCTAAATGTAACGAAGTATAAAACCACACTCCCAACCCAAAAGCAACATTAACGAACAAACCACTACATCTACAAGCTACATTACATTAAATCCAGCCTACACCCCCCCCCACCAAACCCCCATGCCTCTCCCCCAAAAAACCGACATCCTCATAATAGGCAGCGGCAACGCCGGCCTCAGCGCCGCGCTCTCAGCCGCGCAAACCAACCCAACCCTACGCATAACCGTAATCGACAAAAGCCCCCTCACCTGGGCAGGCGGCAACACCTACTTCACAGCCGGCGCCTTCCGCACAACCCACAACGGCCTCCCCGACCTCCTCCCACTAGTCAACAACACGGACGCAACCCAAGCATCCCGCATCGACATACCAGTCTACACAGAACAAGACTTCACCGCCGACCTCCAGCGCATGACCAGCAACCGCACCGACCCCGACCTATCAGCAGCACTAGTATCCGACTCGCGCGCCGCCGTCGGCTGGCTAGCCGCCAACGGCATCCGCTTCCAGCTCTCCTTTAACCGCCAGGCGTATGAAGTCAACGGCCGGATTAAGTTCTGGGGCGGACTCGCGCTGAAAACGCAAGATGGCGGGAGGGGTCTGGTGGAGGATGAGCTGCGCGCGGTGAGGAACGCCGGCGTGGGTGTGTTCTTCGATACCGCGGCCACGGCGCTGGTGACGGACCCGACGAGCGGCGCTGTTATCGGCGTTGAAGTTGTCCACACCGACAGAGCTGGCGCTGACACACACAGGAACAGGAACAGGAGAACCACTGTCGGTGCCGATGCGGTGATTCTCGCAGCAGGCGGGTTCGAGGCTAGTCCGCAGCTGCGCGCGCAGTGGCTCGGGCCCGGATGGGACGGTGCGCGCGTGCGCGGCACACCATACAACACAGGCGAGATGCTACAGATTGCACAGCGCGATGTATCGGCCAGAACAGCCGGGAACTGGAGTGGATGTCACAGTGTAGCGTGGGATGCGGACGCGCCGACGGAGTCCGGGAGTCGGGAGGTTTCGAACGAGTATACGAAGAGCGGGTATCCGCTTGGGATTATGGTGAATCGGGACGGGGCGCGGTTTGTGGATGAGGGGTTTGATATGCGGAATTATACGTATGCGATGATTGGGCGGCGGGTGTTGGAGCAGCCTGGACAGGTTGCGTTTCAGGTTTGGGATGCGCGGACTGTGGCGTGGTTGCGGGAGGAGGAGTATCGGGGTGAGGTTGTGAGGCGGATTGAGGGGGCTTCGTTGGAGGAGCTTGCGAGGAAGTGTGTGGATGTTGGGCTTTTGGATCCTGGGCGGTTTGTTGAGTGTGTCAAGGAGTATAATGCTTCTGTTGAGGGGGTGGATGGGCAGAGGAGGTGGGATCCTTCTGTTAAGGATGGGCTTGCTACTAAGGGGCTGGCTGTTTCCAAGTCGAATTGGGCTTTGCCGATTGACAAGCCGCCTTTCCTGGCTGTCAAGGTCACTGCGGGTATCACGTTCACTTTTGGGGGGTTGGCTGTGAATCCTGAAACTGCGGCTGTTATTTCGGAGACGACGGGTGATGAGGTTCCTGGGTTGTATTGTGTGGGTGAGATGCTTGGAGGCATCTTCTATGATAACTACCCTGGTGGAAGTGGATTGACTTCTGGGACTGTGTTTGGGCGTCGTGCTGGTCGAGCAGCGGCGGAGCGAGCTGGAAAGAGAAGACTAGAACGGTTGTGATGCCTTCGAAGATCAAGGGTTTACATATCAACACATAACTAATGACTACAAGTACAATTAATGTTCAGAATGTCTTCTATTGATTAGAATATATTTAGTAGCGACAGTAAGTGAGTCTCGACCAAGGCCAGGGGACCAAGGCCAGGGCCCAGCCAGTATCAAAACAATAGGAACATGTTCTTCCTATGGGTATCATCACCAACAAACCTAAAATTGGAAACCCATGCACTGGAAAGGCGATCGAGGAAAAAAAAGAACAATGTAATAGCTTTAAGCCATGCAGAATGCAGGCTATGGAAGATTAAGAAGCGAAAACAAGTCAGGGTATGGCCTGCAGAGAATAAAAACATCGAATCATCACAAGCCCCATGGTATCGAGAAAAAAGCACAAAGGTGACGCCCAGTCTAGGGAAAGAATAAGAAATCAAATCAAAACAACGCATCCAGCCGGAAACCTCTATGGTCGTAACGTGGGTGAAACAAAGGAAACATGGAAATATGAAAGAAAAAAAAGAAGCTCTCTCTTGCCTGTCGCCCTCGAACAGAACCCATTATACCCATAAATCACAGACCGTTTTGGAAGGGTATGGTATGTATAAGCGTTTCTCTCTCCGGGAAATGTTTGTCGGAGGTGAAATAGAAAAAGGGATGAAAAGGTGATCCATGCTGTTGTACAAGGAGACGAGAAAGCCGGAAACCGTTTGGATAAACATGCCGACACAGTTGGTTCATGCTCAGACGGAGAACGAGTTTGTGAAGGGTGGAGATTCGCTTTAGGCGCGAGGGCGTAGGAGAGGGAGCACTCGACAGCTTCAGTAGAAGATGTAGTCGTATGAAAGATTGGCAGATTACTCGTCGTCATCGCCAGAGCCGGTATCCTTCTCGCCCTTGTGGACCTTCTTGTGTCGGCGCAGGTTTGAGACAACGGAGAAGTGCCGCCCGCAGCCTTCAACATCACACGCGAATGCTGGAAAATGTTAGCATGATTCGAATGATTTGGTTCTCACAGAAAAAAGAAAGAACTCACGCTTTTCGCCAGTGTGGCTGTACATATGCGTCTGGAGCGAAGATGGACGCGTGAACCGCTTGTCGCAGACCTTGCACTTGTGCTTTTTCTGGGTGTTGGAAGGCATCTTGGAGCTGAATTGGCTCATCATCGATTGCGGGCCAGGGGGAGCACTACCGGCCAAAAGGCTAGTGGGCCGGGGAAGAGTGCGCGATTCGTATGACTCGGAAGTTGTGGAGCTGTAGTCTGTCACGGAGGAGTCGACGGAGCCCACCGAGGCGCTGTAGTAGGGGTAGTTGCCGCCGGAGGAGATAGACGAGGCGGAGGATTGGGTGGAAGGGAAACCGTATGAATCGGCCGAGCCTCGTGTGCCGCGAGGACCAGGGCCGTAGATGTTGCGCGGAGTCAGATCCTGGCTGAGAGCGACCATTCCGCGGCTGGCGTCGAGGGCATCACCGAAAGTAGGGGCGGAAGCCGAAGCGCCAACGCGAGCGGCGTCTCTGTGGATTATGTAAGTTTTTGCGGTTCCCCAAGCATGTATGTAATGCAGACTCGAATCAACTTACGAGTGCGAGATACGGCGGCCGTCTTGCGCGGATGGGTGAATAGGGGCGTGGGCGTAGGCATAGCTGGAAGGTGCAAAGCTGCTCATTGGGGGAGCGCTGGTGTAGGAAGGAGCCTGGTCGAAAGTTGTGCGCGCAACCTCGTGTTGCATTCCCATTACCTCCGGCCCATAGGCGGCGCTCGCGTAGCTGGTTCCGGTCACCATTGACGGGGCAGACACGGGGATGTTGGGATAGGGCATGGACATGGCGGAGCGGTTCACTTCCTCCTGCTTGACCTGGCCCAGCCCCATGCTGGCGCCATTGCCCATGGAGGTCGCATAGACTGGGGGTGTCGAATGCGACGAGCTGTGTGCCCACGGGTCTGTAAACTGTGGTGGGGTGTGATGATAGACATTGTCGAAACTCATGCCGCCATAGGGACGGTTCTGATTTTCCATAACCATCGTCATAGGGAATAGAGTCGCGAATCGATCGCGTGTAGAACTGTATAGAGGGATTGAAGATCGAGTCCAAAAAGTAATGGAATAGAGTGATCGTCTGTGTTGATCCGGAGGTATATGAAGACAAAGTGATAAACCCGATGATCAACAATTATTTTATATTTTTAAGGGAGAAAGAAAAAGCAGAAACAGTCTGGGGAAGGGGATCGGCGAAGCTTATGAAGGAATATAAGGCATGATCCCATACTCCAAAGTGCCACTGACGACGTCCCGTCGGGGGTCGCAGATCGCTGGAAATGATAATACCGGTATTTATTATTTTATTATTTTATTTTATTTGAATTTTGTTTTTTTATTGTTTCTAATTGTTTATAATTGTTTATAATTTGAGTTTTTCTGATTTTCTTTTCTTTTTTTTTTAATTTCTTTTTCACATTTTAAGGATTTTTACTACAAATTCGGGATTTCTTTTTATTTCCTCTCTCGGGATTGGTGGACAGACCTGGGTTAGGGCACAAGTGGTCCGCACCAGTTCCTCGGAGGGACAATTCCTCTTGATATTTACCCTAAGCATACTAGCCCTCCTATTTACGCTTTGTCAATCAGGGTCTAAAATATATTAATTGCTTAATCAACTAGGCTGAGGAATGGAAGATCTAAAGAATCGGCCATCAATGTTTACCTGGGAATGTCCCAGATGACTCCGGCATCGGAACGGCCATCCTACAAAAAAATAAGCATAACCAGAAATATTCCCTAAGCTTATAATACGAAAAAGGAGAAAATCATGAGACGCAAAAAGCAGTCGGTGACCTCAGAATCAAAGGGGGTGTAGACTAGGGGAATGTTCAATTGGAGACTAGCCGTGATGAAGGCTGTGAGTGGTCGAACTGTGCCGTGTCTGAGAGACAAAAGCGGAAAAGATTAATATTATATTTTATCATATGCGTAACAACAAAGACAAAAGGGACTGCCAAGAAATAAACTCACCAAGGTTCGCCCTGAGTCCGCTGTTTCAATGTAGCGGGGCAGATCCCAGTGTCCAAGGGTATACCCGTTGCCGTGGGGGTTAATATGAGTGATATAGTGATAGTTCTTGCGGAATTACCTCTATTCGTAGACTATCACCATTAGTTCGAGTAGCTTCTATCCAAACCTTCACTTTCAAGACATGGCTTGAGACAAACCACAGTATAGAATAGAGTCTCCATTATTGGCAAGCTGCAGGATCAGAGGCACATGTTCTTATTCTTTGAAAAATAAAAAGATAAAACGGAATGGCTTAAGCCATGGAGGGGCCTATGACACGGCACAGAGAGGGTTTAGCGCCAACCCGACCTTACATAGAGAAGGCAGTATCGAATCACTAGCCGCCAGCATTATTGACTGCATTCTAATTCCATTGAGTCAGGGAATCCGGCAAAAATGCGATGACGTTTGACTAATTCAAGCTCCTGTTTCAGAAGTCAACTAGTTAGAGTAGTCTTGGTTTTAGTTTTAGTTTTAGTTTTAGTTTTAGTATATCTAGATATATACTGTAGTCCGATGGAGCACACGGGACAGTCTGCGGAGGAGTACGGAGTACCTCAGAGCAAGTCCCAAAACCGTTTAGTTTAGTCCTCGCAGAAACCACCGCATATAGATACAGATACGACCGTGCAATGAGCTCGCCCAGCGGTACACCAAAAAAAAAGCCTCCTGCAGGTAGAAGGCATAAGTTCCAATACCAACGCTGCCATTAGCCGGGCCATGCGAGCTGTATCACATAGAGACCGGTCCTTAAGTCCACGCCTAAGGCACCCGGGCCAACAGAAAGCGAATCCATAACAACCTCGTATTGGGCCTTGATAATCAGAGAGCCACGGGCTGCAAGCCATGTTTTCCTTTTCTCCTGTATTGGGACTGGGGCAGCGACGTCAGAGGGGCGGAACAGCGCAACCCAGTGGGAAAACGGGTAAACGGCCGCTTTGGTCATAGTTGGTGGGCGCCGCTCCCGCAATAGGGTAGACATATCACAATTATCACAATCTAGTTATTGACCTTTTTTTTTTTCTTTGTGGATTTGGAAATGGTCATGGCCCTCGTGCGGTGGAACCAACAGATTCTCCTCTTTCTCTCCGACCAAATTTTCCTATTCAATAGTGTGTGCCAATACGCAATAAATAAATTTCCGATATGGGTGGTCTATGGTCCCCGAGGCTCGGGGTTTGATGTCGACCATAGAAAGTTCAAAGAAGACATGGTTGATCACACAAGGTACAAGGTACAAGGTACCAGGGGGGAAACAGATCGTCGACCAAGAGCCGAGGAAGAGGCTGAAGAAAAGGCAACATACCCTTGTACTCCTCCAATCACATAGTACCATATTCGTCTCCATCCCATGATTGGCGTCTAGCCCGGGGGGGAGGAAAGCCATCTAGCGTAAGACCGAAGTACGACGTACATATATTGGACATCCCGTACTCCGTAAACCACACACATTCGAGGATTGATTCGAGATCAACTGCCGCTCTCCCGGACGAGAGGACAAAACATGTTCAACCGTGGGCTCGGCACAACGGAGATCTAACCGGGAAGCTTAGGAGCAGAAAGCGAAAAAGGAAAAGAATAAGCGCAGTTCCAACTTTTTTCTCCCAGCTTCTCCGCATTCCAGTTTCCAACCATGGCGACGCCACGTCCTTTGCCTTTTCGAAAAACTTGGAGTCCATACAGAAACCATGGAAACTGGCAATTAAACAACTTGTGGGCCGTGGACAAATATCCGGAGTTCGGTCTTCATCCGTTCTCTGCTCAGATGCAGTATGGGGGTATCCATGGATATCGCGGATGTGTGCCTCGAAGGCGACCGTGGGTCCCGGGTTACTGGATTAAGATTGGAGTCGCGATTAGCTTTCTCTCTATGTATGTTGTATCGAACTACAGTTTATCCCCAGCACTTTAGTCTTTGGATGAGAATAAACATCTCACTCTCCAGTCTCGCCATCCTTTAGTCCCGTGTCTAGGCGGTCGGGGTGGACATCCCCTAAAAGAGAAAAAAAAAAGAAAAAAAGAGCGCAATTGGGCAGTCAGTCGGGTACCCAACTCCCATGTCCACATTGCACCAAGTGACAATGAAAAGTGAAAGGGGGCAAAAAATAAAAAGCGCCAATACATAGGTTCAGGTTACTTCAGCTTCAAATTGCCCCATTCTGAAAAAAAAGCCCAGATATGGAGCCCTTGAAATTAAAAGAGGCGCGCACTTCTCGGTCTCGGTCAGCCAACACCCAACAACGCAAAAGAAAAAGAAAAAACAAGCAATGCAACAGATGGGCTGGAGGCTGGGCGTAACTCCCCCTTTTGTGCATGCCGTGTTTGGACCGAACAATCTCACCGGCAGAACTCCGTCTTTCTCTCAACGAACGCCCACTGTGTTGGCAAAATGTGGCGTTTTTGAGATGCTCATTTTTGAGGTCGAGAGTGGGTGGGGGAAGGGCCCGGAGGAGGATGTGAGAATTAGAACGTGTGGGCGCCAAGAGATGGTTTTGTGTTTTGGGGTGGATATAGCTTGGTTCGTCCCTATTCGTATCTGTATACGCCGTCTGTACATTGGCAATGGCGTTCAGTAGTTCAACTTTTTGAGGAAGGTATACCTGGGCCATAATATTGGGCCGGGGTGTGCCGGCAGAGCTTGAGAATGGGGTCGGCTGGTACTCCATACATAGGTACATGCAGTTCTATAGGTTTGAATTTTGTACAGGTCCACCGCTGCAGAAGGGCCCCTGCTAGACTAGACAGACACAGGGGTGGAGCATATCTAAGGTCGTGAACGTTGGAAACTTGTGTGAGAGGACCTGCTTCAAGGTCTTCTCTCGATGGGCCGTCAAGGGGGAAGCCTTGACGGCCTTGACGGCCCTGACCGCTCCGACACGGCTCATATTAATGACGCGTCTTCTGGGACCCTGAGAAGTGTTTTTTTTTTATCGTGCTTTCACGGTTTTATCTGCTTTCCCGAGAAACCCGCTGGAAAATTCAGGAAAGGGAAAAGGGCGGTCAGAGATTGAGATGTGACAGTTCAACACAGGCAGATCGGAGAAATAGCGATATCAACCCCTGGATTTCGACCTCAGTTGCCCATGTCGAGCCGATTATTACCTCCTAAAGTACGGAGTACGCTGTAATCAGATCCTTATCTCGCACGTTGACGATCCGCCTCAATGCCGAGTGTCAATCAGGTACCCTTGGCCAACAAAGGCCTGTCATCTGCATGGGGCTCCGATCTTGGCAGTTCCCACACGGCAGATCGTCATGTCCCTAATTCAAGGTTGACTGATCATCGTTTCTTTTGGGTGGATATGTTTCTAGTAATGCTAGTAATGAGTTAAAACTCGATAATGAGGTAAAATTGGATAAATGAGTTCAAATTTGAGTTAATGAGTTATCAGATAGTATGTTAACTAGTATATTGTATTTCCTCGTCACGCTCCCAATTTCTATACATAGAACTGAAACGGTGAACCATTCATGTCCAAAGCGTTACATCCAGTGGATCTGTGGACTGTGGACTATGGCGACAGACAATCCGGGTCAATGGGACAACCCATATGGCATCCACAGCTAGCATCCACAGCTAGGCAGTCCCTTTGAAAAAAAAAAAAACTTACTGAACTCGGTATCCCGATACCGGACCCCTTTAGGTTTCTTTCCACAGTTTCACACTAATCCGGATTAGCTCGGCCCAGTTGGGCCTAGTGTGGCTTAATTGCATGGGGTCCACATTCTTACATGTTTGCTGCAGAGCCTGCCAGCCAATCCGCAGCGACCATTGGCAATCCAGGCCCACCTGAAAACGGCAGATAGTCGATAGCCGATCTTGGCAGTCGTTGATCGACCAATTGGATCTTCAGCCCCACCAGGAGCTGACGCGTGCTCATCCCGCGCTTTTAAGCCAACGTGGTTATCGACTCCTTGGTATAGGTCGAACAAAGTAGGAAGGTTAACCTTGGATTGCGAGACTTGGAATACTCGGGATTTTTTTGCAACCGTTATGATTATCTTTTTGCTGGCTTTTCCTTGGATGTGATTCTATTGTACCCTGTATACTCCGTACCTACTAACACAAACCCAAAGTCAAATGACCCTCCCCCAACACCTCCCCGCAAAGCCCGTTTTGGCTTTCGTCCCCAAACTCGAGATCCCTGCGTGCGATCCTGGTTAGACTCCACATTTCCCGCTAGGAACACTGCCACTTTCAGGGTCAACGCTAAACAACCTGAAACGCGAGTGGGGGAATTCCCATACGTACAGTACTCCGTAATTTATATTTTATATTGTCATTCCTTTCCCTCCTGTTCGAGAGAGAGATCCCAATATAAACTATTCTTGCACTATCCTCCGTGATCTAAGCCGCACCGAGTAATTTGTCCCTGCCACTAGTCTGGACCAGTACTTATTCTGCGATTCCATATCCATTACGTAGTGGGTCTGGTCGAGAGAATCGGAACATGGCCGGAGAACCTCGGACATGGCTTGTGACTGGACGGTCTTTAGCGTTGTAGGCGTGTGAGACTAAGTGCGCCTCTTTAGCCTGAAGAAACGGACTTTTGCCTTAATAGGCGATTGACTCGACTGTTTGATCGGACCTCCCCGCCACCGAATAAGAAACTTTGGGCCAAGTCCCATCTCTGCGGTTCTTGTTGGAGTTCCCCGAGAATTGACGGTGGATATTGGAGAAACTGCGGTGTGCGCTGTAGCCTTTACCCATTTCTTGACTGTGGTATATTATGGTATAAATCAAGCTCGCTGTCTACTCTGTACTCACATACAACCTACATCAGACGCATGAAGACAGAAGTGGGGAAATTCTCTCTCTTGGCCTATGTCACCAGACATCCTAAACACTGCAGGAATACCAAGACCTGAGGGAGGGGCCGTAGTCTTAGCATAAATCTTAGTGTACCATAGCCATAGCCCGTGGGCCAAAAAAAAGGTAATGCCGATCCACCAAGTGTGTGTATCCCTAGCTGTGTGCCTCAACCGTCGTGATGGGGCGCTGCAGGGTCTCCGATCCCTTGCAAGATTCAGAATGTAATAGTATATAGTATAGTTATCTAATTCTCACAGAACAATCATGTCTCTATGATGTACATGGTAGCTTTTTGTTCTGTTATCCTAGAATAGAACAATAACAACGTTCCAGCATTGTTAAAAGCTTCCAATCATCCGTTGCGCAAGTATTCTCCTAATCGAAATGATCTACTACGTTACGCAAGTCAATCCCGCAGATCAACATAACCTTTTTTTTCCTTAGTTATCTTTCCTAGTGTACTCCGTAGACTCCGTTCTCTTTCACATGAATCCAATCTCGGTATCTCGCATGCTTGACAGCTAAACATAGTTAGTCACTTACACTTTACATACAGCTCCGGATCTCGAGGTTAGATAGATGCGCGTAACAGGTCTTCCCCACCTCTACTATACACTGCATGTCCATATAGTACATAGCTTTACGCTTTCCAGGTGGGGTCACCTCGGGATTCATTCCCTGCATGTGCTACTCCGTACCTCCACGATCTAAGGATCTATGAACCTCAAACCGGGACCCATGGTCCTTGCAGCTGTGGTTTCTGATTCTGTGCCGTGTCCACCGCGCTAAAAGAGGAACTGATAGCTTACCCGGAGATGCTACGGAGTAGTTACGGAGTACGGAAGTACTCCATAGTGAGTATGTAATAAGAATAATCAATAACTAAACTCACGTCCTAAAGTGGATGGCAGACCCTGGAAATCTAAAAAAAAGAGAATTCCAGACCTTCCAAGGTTGGAACGTGTGCAAACCATGGAAAAGGGTAAAAAGGGGCGTTACACAACTGCCCCCTTATCAGGGTCTGTGTGTTTTCTTTTGACTTCACCGTTGTGTACTCCGTAGGGAGTACTACAAGTACAGTACGGAGTACATACAGGGAAATCAAATCCCCTCCATTCCGCGGTTGTTCAGTG